GTGACAACTAATATGAAACAGAGGGAGTACCTTTAGTCGGATGATGAAATCCCTCTGTTTCATATTAGTTGTCACTCTTGCTTTGTCCAAAATCAAGCCTTTATATCTTTGATCATCAACGAGAAATTCATATAGCTTACATCATAAGATTTATGTTTTTAGATTCACCATGGGAAATACTTATAATTTGCATGTTTGTTTGACTATATGAATTTATAGGAATTGATGGCCAAAGATAGAAACGTTTGACTTAGGACAATCTAAAATGACAAATAATTTGAAACAGAGGGATTATTCTTTTGAGCTAATTTATACCTTTTCCCCCCTTTTTGTATAATCAAGCACGATAATCTTCTTACGTCCTTTGTCAAAATGAAAAGACCCAACATCCTAGCAATAGGGTGACATTTGACTAGCTGTTGCTTTTAGAGATTTTAGGAGTTCCTGCTTAAGCTGTTCACTAAGAAAATGTTATCCTGTATGCCAGGCAGTACTTAAAATGTTAAATGAGATTGGAAGTGTGGAAAATATTCCAGATTTCATTGAAGGGGTAAAGAACAGGTAACATATAGCTTCCACCTGATCTATATTCAGGTGGAGATACTCAGTTTGTTGTTGCCCTTTTATACGCTTTTGACATTGTTCTTACAAGATTCGTTTGTTCATTTTCTAGGAAGAGGAAGATGTCAGGTTTTGGGCACCGTGTATACAAGAACTATGACCCTCGTGCTAAAGTCATCAGGAAATTGGCAGAGGAGGTGTTCTCAATTGTTGGACGGGATCCACTTATTGAGGTTAGCTTTCCCATGTGCTTTGATCTAGACAGGAAATGTTTTCTGGATTTAACCTTTTTTTATACATAGTTGTATTGTGGTTTGAGATTTCTGGCAATGTGTAGTAAGTAGTAACCAGTTAAGAGTTTCTGACTGTACATAGGGTGGGAAACAGTTACTTTGTCATGTGTAATCTTGCAAACGATGAAATATAAAGCTTTTTTCTCAGATAGAAAATTGAACTTATAGAATGAGTAAGATATATTGCAAATTACTTTGCATTGAAGCTCTAAAATAGAAAACTGTTGAACATTTTATCTCCCCTAGTTTCCCTAGTGTCTAATAGATCGGTCATGGTTTCAAAATGATAGAACCATTCACAACAGTATACTGGCCACAAGCAATGCTGGTATACTCTTAAGTGGTTACAATTGGCCATTTTGTTGCTTAATTATTTTCCATTTCATAAATGAAAAATTCTGCTCAAGGAAAAAAGAATTCCAAGAATTCTGCAGTAAAATAGGGATAATAGACGATCTGGCTGTGCAACTACAAGAGTGCCTTGGCAAAACTAACTGGGTCGTCTTACATTTTATTTTTCCCTATGCCATGTCAGGTGGCCATTGCTCTAGAAAAGGCAGCACTGTCAGATGAATATTTTGTCAAGAGGAAGCTATATCCAAATGTGGACTTCTACTCTGGGCTAATTTATAGGTACTTTGGTTGGGAGCGACACCTGATTTCCTTTCTTTTCCTCCCCTTGGTATTATGGTAGTTTTATTGTTACTGTATTGGTTTCAGGGCGATGGGATTCCCTACAGAATTTTTTCCTGTGCTGTTTGCCATTCCTCGCATGGCTGGCTGGCTAGCGCATTGGAAAGAGTCACTCGATGATCCCGACACTAAGATTATGAGGCCCCAACAGGTCAGTAGAAACTAGAAAGGGAAAATATTATCTAGTACTGTTGCTGTTTCTCTATTTGTGAACCAGTGTGAACTCTCAAATTCCTGCATCACCAAACTTCATTTTGTCATATACTTCAAAACTATTAGAGCGAATATTCCCGCTCAACATCTATGCTGTCATGCTGTTTGTAAGAAAATTTGTGGTACAAGTGGCCTGAGACCAGATTTTTGCCTATATCCCCTTCAGCTGACGATGTTCTTGTGGTACAAGTGGCCTGAGACCAGATTTTTGCCTATATCATTTCTTCAGCTGACGATGTTCTGTTATTTCTCCAGGTATACACTGGCGTCTGGCTGAGGCATTATACCCCAGTCAGAGAACGAGTGCTGCCAAGCCAGAGTGAGGAACTCGGCCAGATTGCCACCTCAAACGCAACTAGGCGCCGCCGTGCTGGTTCTGCCCTGTAGAATAGCTGCTGCATATAAACACACCGGCATACTCAATAAACAGAGACCACTTTTGTGCTTGAAAAGGCCACAGATGCTTAGCTTGGTTGCAGTTGTAGGCTCTGTTAAGTATATAGGCAATAATGCCGTGAGAACACGCTTACAATGTAAAACTGTCATGAGTCATGACTTGCAGGTGTACACCCCTTGCGGTCTCTATGACTTCACTTCCCTTAAGATGATTTGTTGTTCCTGGGTTCTTGCCTTACACCATGTGCTCGTTTTGGTGATCTTTTGTTGCTCGTTTGCTTGGAGATAAGTGAAAACAAAATTACGTCGACATATTTCATATTCGGAAATACTCGGATGCGGACGTCCGTCCGCTCGCGTCGGTTCGGACGCGGATTCCACTTCGCCTCGCCTTCTCTCTTATCTCTCAGCTCCGTCTTGCCCTCCCCATCTCCAGGTCTTTCTCGTGTTCTCAGGCAGCGGTAGAGCCCCACGCTGCCACCGTTGCTTCCTCCACCACCAGAGCTGACTATAGCCCTGTTCGCTTGACTTATAAGTTGTACTTTTTCAGCCAACGAACAGTATTTTTCTCTCACAATAAATCAGCCAACAATACTTTCATCCATGGCTTATCAGCCAAACGAACATGGCATATGTTGCCTTCTCGCTCAGTTCACGCAGTGCCTCCCCGGTCTCTTCCCCAACCTAGCGCTCTCAGGATGCGTCGCCACCGCGGGCCGCCGCCGCTGCCCCTGTCGATGGCGGTTGGGCGTAGGTGCGTGAGTCGTCTCCAGACGAGCCAAGGAGCACCCACGAGCGCGGCCGGTGCTGGTGGTGCTCGTACGCTGTCGTCTCCCACCCTGACGGCCGGAATCGATCGGCCTTATTCTCGGCCTCCATGTTGAAACGTATGTTTCAATTGTTGCAGATGTTTCAGAGGTATGTTGCAAGTGTTTCATATAGATGTTGCAAAAGTAGATCGGGATATTGCATATGTTGCAATGGCTATACACGTATGTTGCAAGCGTCTGTTTCATTTGTTTTTTCAGACATATGTTGCAAGTGTTTTTCAGCCTGTTCGGTTGGCTGGTTCGTTTCGTTGCTGGTTCGTAAAAAAGTACTGCTGGCTGGTTTGTGTGAGAGAAAAATACTATTTCGGCTGAAAATTTACGATCGTTTACGACAAGCCACAGCCAAACGAACATGTTGTTTATTTAGATGTTGCGTATGTTTCACACATATGTTTGCAAGTGCTTTTTTTAAGGATGTTGCATATGTTTTGCAATGATTTTTCAAATATTTTTAGGTGTTTTTGTAAGTATTTCACACATATGTTTTAAGTGTTTTATCTTTCTTTAGACGCATGTTGTAAAAGTTTTAATCTAGATGTTTTAAAAGTAAATCAAGTGTTATATATGTTGCATTGTGACTCACCTGCCACGGCTGCCTGCTGCAGCTGCTGAGGCACCGTGCATGCGTCGTGCATGCGTGTGGAAAACCGCAGCTGCGGACGTGGGGCGATACGGGCGTGCCGTAGCCGCGGGCGGGACGCGAGTGGCCGTCTTGACATCTAAGCGCTAGCACTGTCCTTTCGTATTTGTGTCGCGGATATATTGAACATATTTATTTTTATTATCTCACTGCGTTCTAAAATAGATGAATTTGGATTTTGGGACAGAGGGTCTTCCATTTTGGGACGACGGAGGTAGTATATTGTTAAAGCACCGAAAACGTGTTTGGTGTTTTTGCACACCACGTCCACGCTGTTCATTCATGTTCAGCCGTAACAATCGTGCACCATGCAGTCTGGATTGAGAAAATCGATCGTGTACAAGCAGTGCACAAAGGCGAACAACTTTTAATTTTTAGGAATTCAAGACTATATAAAGGAATCGTAGATATTCTCTTTTCAGCCTTTTTTTACGCTTGGTTCCCACTTGAAATCTAGTACCACGTATTAAACTTGGTGTTGTTTTTCTAATCTAAAGTAGCCTGCAAACATCAAGGTTTATCTAAACCTTAAAAAGGATTGAGCAGTAGTATATATGAAACATGAGATGAACCCTCCAACAGGCACACCAAAGTTTTGAAAAACTTGAAGCTCATCAAATATAAGCTAAAGACAACTTTTCGCCCCGTTCAGCTTACCTTATATCCGGCTTGTTTGTTCGGCTTCTTTTTTTTCAGCCGAAACAATATTTTTCTCTCACAACAATTCAGCCAGAACAGTGTTTTTCAGTCAGTTTCAGCTAAAATTCAGTAAGCCGAACGGCCTTCATAATGATGATCTGCAACAGGCGTACCACAGTTTCCAACAAAAAATTCTGCCATTCATGTCTGTGCCAAAACACATTACATATTGGAGACTTTGCTCTTTGCGTGATAAAACAAAAGTATGATACAAACACAAACAAAGCTTAATGCTGCAGCGGGGTACTGATGGGTGGTCTTGCTGCCGCAGAAAAGATCTAGGACTGAAACTTATGAGTGAGAACCGAGAATAAGTCCACCTAGAACAGGTATTCTTCAAGATGCGCTGCTCTCTTCCTTTACAAGGATTACCAATATGGCTGCACATAAGGCATAGAGTATGGTGAGATAAATGTATATATTTGCATAATAAGCAATTAATTTGACACAAACAAAAGGATGGTGTACCAAAATGTAGGCATGTAGCATCCAAAACATATTAGGAGTTCATAACATACACAGATATGCACAGCTTCTAAAATCTACAGCCTGCTCAATGTAGACTGGTTGTATGATTTGGTAATAATATAACAAAAAACATGAGCTCATCTACAACAATGCAGGCACCAGGTATGTCAATGGGAGTTACAGTAGGGTGGTTGATATACCTTACATTTAGTGACGCCTTCTGTCTCTATGTTCATCTCTAGAATAGCGTTGTTCATAATCCCTCCTTGAATGGTAATGCAAGTCATCATCACGCCTTGACCTCTTGGAATCATGACTATCCATATATCTACTGTGTCGACCATGCTCTTCCTGCCATCTATTATCATCTCTGTTCTGACGGTCTTTGTATCCCTCTTCTCTAACTCCACTTGAATTTGGATCATACCGATCATCTATCAGTTTCCTTTTGTTGTCTCTCTCCACATCATTTCCACCTTTCCTTCCATATTGCTCTCTCTCCCTCTGTCTCTCTTCCTCCTTCTCTCGCTGCCTTTTCTTCTCCATCTCCATCCTCTCTTCCTCCCTTTGCTTTTGCTTCTCCAACTCTTTCCTCTCTACCTCTCTCTGCTGTTGCTTCTCAAGCTCTTTTCTTTCCTCCTCTTTCTGCCTTTGTGTAGTCAGCTCATTTCTTCTCCCTTCAGCTCGACTCCTTTTTTGTTCCTCATAGCTATCTGCACTCATGTCAGAATCACTGCTGCTGAGGCTGCTGCTGTAATCTGAACTCTCACTTGAGCTAGCTAGTTTCCTTTTCTCTTGCACATCCTTTTTCAACGCTGCAGCATTCAGTTGTCTTTCCTTATCATGGGAAAGACCATCTGAATCTGAGTCATGGCGAAAACTTTCCTTGTATTTTCTAGGCTTCTCATCCTGATGAGAGCTTTGCACCGGTATCTTGTTTTTCCCATTATGAATGTTTGCATGTTCCACTACTTTCTTCCTATAGGCACTATCTGTATCAGAGTCAGAATCATGACGAGAGCTTCCCACTGGCATCTTCTTTCTCTCATCGCGTATGCCCTTCGCATGTTCTATTTTCTTCTTCCTATAGTCAATATCTGTATCAGACTCAGAATCATGACGAGAGCTCTTCACTGGTACTTTCTTTCTCTCATCACGTTCATTCTTTGCATGTTCCATTTTGTTCTTGCCATAGCCACTATCTGTATCAGACTCCGAATCATGATGGGAGCTCTTCACCGGTATCTTCTTTCTCTCATCACGTTCATTCTTTGAATGTTCCACTTTCTTCTTGCCATAGCTACTATCTGTATCAGAGTCAGAATCATGACGAGAGCTCTTCACTGGTACCTTCTTTCTCTCATCGCGTTCACTCTTTGCATGCTCCGTTTTCTTCTTGCCATATCCACTATCTGTATCAGATTCGGAATCATGACGAGAATTCTTTACTGGTATCTTCTTTCTCTCACCCCTATCATTCTTTGCATCTTCCACTTTCTTCTTGCCATAGCCACTATCTGTATCAGAGTCGGAATCATGACGAGAGCTCTTCACTGGTACCTTCTTTCTCTCATCACATTCACTCTTTGCATGCCCCGTTTTCTTCTTGCCATATCCACTATCTGTATCAGATTCGGAATCATGACGAGAATTCTTTACTGGTATCTTCTTTCTCTCACCCCTATCATTCCTTGCATGTTCTGTTTTTTTCTTGCCATAGCCACTATCTGTATCAGTCTCGGAATCATGACGAGAGTTCTTCACTGGTATCTTCTTTCTTTCACCTCGATCATTCTTTGCATGTTTGGCTTTCTTCTTGCCATAGCCACTATCTGTATCAGACTCGGAATCATGACGAGAGCTCTTTCCACGCTTGGCTTTCTTCCGATCATTTTCAGAATCATCATGTGAACCAAGACGAGGTTTTTTGTTGTGTTTCTTTTCCTTCTTCTCATCATAATCAGTCTCTGAACCATCTTCTGATTCATGGCGAGAACTCTTCTTCTTCGTTTTTGTGTCATGATCGTGATCTGAGTCCGAGTCATACTTGCTCTTTCTTGAACTTCTGTGTCGACTCCTTTTGTCACTCTCTTTTTTCTTCTTGCTCTTCTTTGCATCCTTTGAATCCTTGCTATCCTTTTGCCCAGCAGTATCCAGTTCCTCATAATACTTGCCAGGAACAAGCTCTCCGGATTCTACATCACTTTCTACATCCCCCTTCTTCTTTGCATCCTCAACATCCAGCCCTAAAGCAGCCCTTAGAGTCTCAAGTTGTTTCTCCTTCCGTGCCGCAACATGGTGGCTCTGTGTGTCTATAAACCTGAGAAAAATATGGCAACTTATGATCAGAATTTAGATACAAAAAAAAAATAAAACACTCAAGAGACTAAATGTTTATCAAAAACAATAATTTCATTTTGAAATGGCTATACAATCTGAGAGACAAAATGGAGGCATCAAACTAAAAAGAAAAGGCTACATGAAAGTAGCGTGGTCATCTTCTATTGTCTATCATCTGCATTAATATGCCATCCAGCAGAAAAAAGGTCTAATGGACAGATAATCAACCATTACAAAATGACAAGTTTTCCCACATCTGCACAGGAATGGATGAAATCATGGCATGCAGCAAACTCTCCACATCCAAAGCTAAAAACTGATGAATCACACCATGCATAGGGCAAACCCATTAATATTCAATTCGCATACAGAACCAGCTGCAAGCAATAATTTTATTTCTAAAAGATGACAAACTCAGTAAAAAGTAAGTGTAGGCACCCATCTATCTGAAACAAACTACATGAAAGAACTGCAAGAATTTTACCATCTATCCACTCCATCAATATGCAATCAGCAATTCTATGGTGGGGAATGTATAATAGACAGAAAGTAAAGCACTCTAGAAAGCCAGACTTCCCATATGTGCAAAGCTAGGGACCGATACAAAGATTATACGGTCCTAAAGATGGACAAAATGCAAGCACATATAAACAGAACGTACAATTAGAATATAGGATCGCACTTTAAGCACTAGCTTTCAAACTTTAAATATGAAGAAGTCTCCCAAAACTAATATAGAAGCCACTAATCTAGGTCTTGCTAGATAATTGACATGTGGCCTTATCTGTGGCAATCTGAACCAAAACACGAAAATAGACAACTGACCAAAACCTATGACGAGACACCACGAGTCTGAAACCTAACACGAAAATTGTCAACTGACCAAAACCTACAGGACGCCAACAAATCCATACCCTCTGCCGCCGGGTAGAGGCGGTCGCCCGGCGCCGGGACCGCCCCCTGCCTCCTCCGCTGCGGCGGCCGCGGTGGCCTCTGCCTCCGCGGCCTTGCGCGCCTCCTCGACGCGCTCCTCGATCTCGCCGTCGGTGTAGCCCTGCTCCTCGAGGGCGTCCCTGAGCACGAGCAGCTTGAGCTCGACCTGGCGCTTGCGGTCGTGCTCGAGGATCTCCTTGTTGGGCTTGCGCATCCCGCCGAGCCCGCCGCCGCCATCGGCGGCGTCGGGGAGCGGCGGCCTGTGTGGCCGGCCCGGCGGCCCACCGCCGGAGGTGGAGCGGGGCTTGATGAAGAACTTGTTGGTCTGGACGTACCCGTTGGTGCCCGACCCCCGCGTGGTCTGCAGCCCGATGCCGTTGTACATCGCGGCCGGTGGGGGGGAGACGCCGGCTGGATCGGCGGCGGCGGATCCCGAGGGCTAGGGAGGCCTGGCTAGGTTTTGGTGGGGTTGGGGCCGCGGCTTTGTGCTCGCGTCAGATCCCCAATTCGAGTCGGGGAGACACGACGTACGGGATGAGAAGCGGTTGGGTTGATATTCGGATTGTGAGCTGTGTTCCTTATCGTCGGCAAGGTGGGCCCTGCACTGGCCCACTAGCCCTTCCCATGCTAGTAACTACAGTACAATCTTGCACTGGTGGGCCATTTTTATTTTTATCATTTTCGTCCATTTCACATTTATTGTTGCTTCTTGCAGTGACAATTACGGCCGCTCCATCTTGCTGGTGGCGAGTGCGTGGATTTCACAGTAAACCATCTACAGAGATCTTTGTTTTCGGTGAATGCACTGTTGATCAATAGTGTCCCTCCCGCACGACTCAGATCACTGTAGATCCACACTCAATCCTAGCCATTAATCCGTTTGCTCAGCCCTCGTGCAGCTACGGTGACGTTTTGTTTTTATTTGGTAATAATTGTCCAAATGTTGACTAATTAGGTTTAAAACGTTCAAACTCCTTAATTTTTGATTTTGCCATTTTATCCGTTTGCTCAGTACGCAAACACCCCTCAGTACGCAAGCCTCCATCCGATGCCAGCCACGGCACGTGTTTCTGGAACCTCCCCTGCACTCCTCCCCAGACTGGATCATGGTTATCGTTATCCATCCATCCTCTAATAAAGAGATTTTTCTTTATAAGTTATTATAAAAGTTTCTAATTTCTTCTTTGTCATAAAAATTTTAACTGCTCCTCTTTAGTTCTTCGCGCAAAGTTTTCTAGTGGCGTGTGCCACTTCCGTGAGCTCAGAGCATAACGGCTGGTAACGGAAGGATACAAAGATCTTTTTGCCCCTATTCAATCCTGGGGTCTTCCAATAATTTATCAACTCTCTTCTCCGGGTCTTTTGCTCTAGCTTTCTTCCTCCTCGCTCACCCGATAAACAACTTTCTTCCTCCTCGCTCACCCGATAAACAAGTGTCAGGTCGTGTTTTTTTGTTGGTCTTCTTGGTGTGAGCAGAGATGCAGCGCAGCAACGAGCGCCTCTACCGTGGCCAGGAGCTCAACGAGCTTGCAGCGAGATCCGCTGGACGGCGTTCACGCGGATGGGCGAGCTTGGCGGCGCTAGAAGGGCACGGCGAGCTCTGCGGGCGGCTGGGCTCGCGTGCGTCCAGGCACGGCCTCAAGTACGTCTTCGTCTTCGTCTGGCACGCCATCACAGGCTACTGGGGCGTTGTGCGTCCAGGCATCGCCGGCATGGACCAATACATCTCCAGGATGCAGTTCCCCAAGATCTCGCCGGGCGTGAGCTCCTTGCCAGCGGCCGTGCAATCGAGTCAGCCGCGCGAGCTCCGGCCGGCTTCTGCGCGAGTCCGCGGCGGCCGCGCGAGCGAGGCGGCCCTATCCGCGGCGGATGCGCGAGCTCTGGCCGGCGTCTGCGTGAGTCCGCGGCGGCCGCGCGAGCTCCCTGCCAGCGGCCGTGCGAGCGAGTTGGCCCTCTCCGTGGCGCTGCGCGAACTCCGGGCGGTGTCGACGCGAGTCCGCGGCGGCCGGCGCGAGGCGGGCGTCGAGCGGCCGCGGCCGGACCTCCACGTCGTCGAGCGGCCACACACGGGGAGGCATGCGTCCAGCCAGCGGCAATGGGGAGGAAGGCGCATGGGACGATCTCGCGGTCACCCTCAACCAAAGGCCCCTGCTGCACGCAGGGATGCAGTGGGACTTAAGTGGACACAGGGGCAAAAGGGTCATTGTATCCCTCGTTTACCGGCCGTCACGTTCTGACATCACGGAAGTGGCACACGGGACCAGAAAACTTTGTGCGAGGGACTGAGGAGGGACAACCAAATTTTCTGTGGGCAGAGAAGAAATCAGAAACTTTCATAATGGCTCGTAGGGAAAAGTCTCCTAATCAAAGGACTACCTCGCCTGCTTGCCGTCGTTGCCTGGGGCTGCCATGGCTTCTTCGACCCGTCTGCGTCCGTCTCCCCCTCCTCCCAAGACACCTCATGCAGCCCTTCACAGCCCTTGTACAGCAGAAGCGGGCAGTCCGTCGCCGCCCCATCTTTTTGAGGCGCAACAACGACGGCACACCGGCGGTGATGGCCGGCTCTCGGCAAAGCGCTACTGAGCACACCCGCCAAAGAAGCCCTCTCTGTCTTGCGGCCGAGCCCCGCCGGTGGCCGTGAACGCGCCTGACCCGCCCAACCATCTGCTCGCTGGTTTGGTACCTCCCTCTCTCTCCTTACCTCCCCCTGTCGACCACCGCTTACCTCCCCCTGTCGACCACCGCTTCTCAGCATGTTTGTTACCGTTCGTGGCTGTTCGTGAAGAAGTACCGCTGACTGATTTGGTGTGAGAGAAAAACACTGTTCTGGTTGGAAATTTACGATCATTTACGATTACGATCATTTACCACGAGCACCAGCTAATCAAACAGGTCTATTGTGCGCATGTGCCTCGCCAAATTATCTTGATTTGTTCTGAGTTTTTACTGCGCCTCCACTACTTTTGATATTATTGTGATACTGCACTTGCCATCGCATGTACACAGCAGCCTCATTGAAGTAGGGCGTTTACCAGGCAGCCAAAAAAAAAATCAGTGTATGCAGCTTAATCAACCTCATTATGGTCCTTTTTCGTGTGACCTATGCTTTTGATACTGCTCAGGCCGTTCAAGCAGAAAGACACGGACCGGAGCTGGACCTATCAGTCTCAGTACTGTAAAATATTATTTCACTTCGATTGTTATATTGTGCGATTGCAGCAAAGCAGGGCGGTTGTTATATACTGAATAAGACCGGAGCTGGACCTTTTTGGTGGGAAATCAGCCTGATCGGAACTGTAGACTTGGTCTTCGCTGATTCGTGAGAAGTACTGCGTCTGGCGGTTCTGTGCGTAGGAGAAAAATATTGTTCTTGGCGTAAAACACCGTTCACGTGAACAGTGCTCGTCAGCCGTACGATGCCTGCGGTGTATCGTGGATTTGCTGACCTGCAGCAGCGACGTTGGCATGGTCCACAATGGCGAGGTAAACAGCAGTGCGTTTGACTCAGTCTCCTCTGTGTTGTCATGTTCTGAAATAAATGTGTTGTCTGCCTTTTCTAATTCCTTAATCCTGCACCTGAACCATGCATATTAACGCATAGTACCTTCATTTTCAAACTTGGCACCAGGGGCCAGTTTAGTTTCAAAAAATGCACCAGGCTTTTACGATTCTTCGATTGCGAATCTTTAGAGTCGCTGTGTTAAATATAAATAAAAATAAAACTAATTATCTATTTAGGCGTCCACAAATCTTTTGCAAATGGAAATGATTGTGCTAATTGTCGATATTTTGTAAAAACCACTACAGACTATTAAAATTTTTATAATTCAGGACTTTACGACGGGATTGCGACTGAGTCGCTGTGTTTCATTGTGTCAAAGATCTATGGGATTCCTTAATCCTGCACCTGAACCATGCATATTAACGCATAGTACCTTCATTTTCAAACTTGGCACCAGGCTTTTACGACGAGATTGCGACTGAGTCGATGTGTTTCATTGTGTCAAAGATCTATGGGGTACAATTGCTTTGCAAATGGAAATGGGTGCTTACGATATTTTGTAAACCGGACTATTAAATTTATATAATTGCTAGTCGGTGTCTAGTCGTCCCTATATATGGATGGTGTTTGACCGGACCGACATGATATATCCTTATCCTATATATACCTATTTCATATAGTCACCTATATAGTAGACTAATCAATCGTCAACATAAAGCAAGCATCAAGACTACATTAGTGTTTAGTTGGTGCTTACTTGTGGAAGTTGTTTTCTTCTCTTTTCTGCCATGTGAGAGGTCCATATTCCTGTCCCAAATTCTATTTCTTTGCTGACTTGCTGCTGGAAGCCTAAAATACCAAAGATCATAATTAGCAACACTAATGTAGTCTTGATCTTGACACAGCTCAACAAAGAGCATTCTTTGCATTAGCAAGCAATTCTTGCAGTAGCAAATAACTAGCATTTAGCAGCTTAGCACATAGCAGAGCATAGCAGCCACACAACCAGCATATTACATAACGAAATAAGTTCAGTACACATAAGCTAAAGTGTTCAACACAGTCACAAACATTGATATTTAACAGTCCAACAAAAATAGGCAACTAGCCATCTAATTAAGCAAATCAACATTAAAATTGAAGCCTCCATCTCCATCTCCAGTTGGTCCATCTCTAATTTTAGTTGATGCAGATTCTTCATCCTCCTCTATTGCTATTGCTGAATCTACATGCTGATCTTAGTCTTCATCATTAACTTTATCAATATCTTGAGTCACTGTGTTTCTTGGACGCTTCATGTTCTAAGCATAAGTACGCCTCGCAGGGGCAGCAACAGTAGCATGAGTAGCAGTAGCCCTAGACAAGTTACGTCCCTCTAGATCCTGAGTTGCACCAATAGCCTCATCCACAACAGTCCAAGTCATAGCATCACCACCATCTTCTGAACTGGTTCTGGTTCACAATTTTCATTGACCCATTCATTTTTTCAATGAAATTCATCAAGCAAGAGTGGATTGCATCTCTTTCCTTTGGAACCTAGCTCTCTAATTTTTTTAAATCTGTTTTTCATCTTGCGGTTGTATATGACATATACCAACTTATTTAACCTTTGGTGCTCTAATCGGCTTCTCTTTTTTGTATGGACCTACACAAAATATAATGCAGAATCACATATCAATATTACTACCATACTTAATTACTCAGCAGTAGTACACTAGCACTTACAGCAGAAAATTCACTCCATGCTAAACATTCTAACCCTAACAGGCCAAACTGCAAGCCCAGTAGCCCACATGTCCGCCTAGTTAAACAGGCCCAAAAACAGAGTAACCAAACTGGTCGTCCATGTCCTAGTTGGACGGCTAATCGCGATTTCTCGTTGACTAATCAGATGACCAGCTTTTTGGTTGAGCTAATCGAGTTGGACCTCCTAATTGAACACCAGGGACCGATTAGGACGAGTAATCGTGATTAATCGGATGACTTGAAAACATTGCGGGTCAGTGTGGCGTGTCTGTTCTTGTCAGAGCAGGCGCGCTTGGTTGGGCTTGACCTCTCCCCGTTCCTCCAGAGGTCATGACGGCGGAGAGGTCATGTGTGCCACTTGTGTGTTGTGGGGCTAAGGCAGAAGGGAGGGGTCGTGGTTCACCCTGGCCTTGACATTCGGCCTGGTTCACTTGGCTCAGTGGGCCTTGGCCTTTCGGGCCTTTGCTAGCTAATGTATCGTGGGCCGCTCGGCCTGCTAACTAATCGATGCCTTGAGACACTCGGGGATTATAACCCCGATAGTAGCCCTCCAGCGTTTTCGCGATCATGAAGTGATCGTGAAAGCACTGAGATGCGTGCGGGTCAAGTGCGGGTTCGTAATCGTGGCCTATCCGAGCTTTGTTGCTCGACCCTTTGCGGGTTAGTGCATTCAATGCGGTAGGTGGTCATTACGTTCTGGCTCGTCATGTTGCCCTAACGAGGTGGTACACGACTGCTGAGCCCTGCCGTGTTAGTGTGTTGCGTATCGGGGTTCGTGACCTAGGCGGGGCTGAGTGGTCTCGTCGATGCTGTACCGGTCTTGCCTTTGTAAGAGTCAATTTTCCCAACCTCATGCGGGCATCTGACACTCGTTGTGACCTCCCATGGTTTGCCACGTGGCGCGGGGATCTTTGGCTATTTAGTCCATCCCTGACCTATAAATGGAGGCCTTCCTACCGTTCAAACCACTCGTGGCCATGGTTACAAATTGTTCCTTGCCTCCTGAGTGGCTTGATGGTGAGGAAATATGAAAGAAAAGTTCGAGGAGAACAACGTGGTTCTCGTTGTGCGTCCCGTTGGGGGCCGTTTGTGGTGGCCAGAAGCTGGTGGTGCCCCTTCAACATCTGGTACTAGAAGGTGTCTTGCGAGTAGGGGAGGATTGAGGCGGTTTCGCGAGGTTTTATGCGATCGTGCATTGGCTCGTAGGTTTTGGACCTTCTTGTGTCTTCCACGTGACCGAGTCGTGATCATGCTTTGGGCCCCGCATTGCTTCGTATGGAAGACAAAGTTGCGTTACCCGACCTGTCTGCTTCATTGATCTCTCCCTGAGAGGTTGTGGACTTCTGACGGTTTGTGAGTCTTCGAAGCTAGCCTTAGGTCATTAGACCTGGAGATACTAGGAAGAGTTTTGGTCGTGGCCTGGCCTCGACTCTTTTATGGAGTCACGGGGACCCGACTCCTATTTTTTTCCCTGGCGTCCCTACCGATCCCGAGAGGTCGTGATGCCCTATTACAGGTGGGTTTGGTTTCACCCCACGCAAGGAGAGACATGTCCACCGTGACCACACGGTCGGAGAGGTGCGCCTTGTCGGGGTCGATGGGTAATCCGAGCGGGACCCGATATCCTTCCCAATCGACGTGGAGTTTGGCTATGCCTCGTCGAGAGACGTCCCATAAATCATCGGCCGTCAAACCCGTTGGTCCCCGACCATCTCCGCAGCGGTCAGAGGGCAAGATGCCTCCCCCCAGAGGGGGTCAACCCGGGCAACTTCGAAGCGAACGACTCATACACAGTGAGATGGTCGCGTGGCTCCGCACCACCGATTAGAGCTGCAGGGGCCCAACTCACCCTGCCCCTATCCCTTTGTGGCCTCGAGCCCTTCTAAGGACCGGCCCAAGAGTGGGTTTCCTAAGCACGACGCAGGGTCGTGGTTGCGATGGGTCGCTCTGC